TATGATGCTTTATTTTTATTAATTGCTTATTTCCTTTGTTGTTCCTGTATTGATTGATGATTGATCCTGCAGATATCAAGTGAAGAAGCTATTGAAACAGCGAAGCTTCTTGCACTAAAAGAAGGCTTGCTGGTAAATTTACTCAATTTCTGTGTCTCATGTCTTCCCAATGAGGAATCCATTCACAGTTTTCATTGTTGAATGCTTTCTTTTATCCTCATTTTTATGATTGTACATATATGACAGGTTGGAATATCATCCGGTGCTGCTGCTGCTGCTGCAATTAAGATAGCCCAAAGGCCAGAAAATGCTGGAAAGCTCATTGTCGTAAGTTCCATTTATTTTCTGAATGACATTGCTTTATTTTCTCTCATGCTTCAGAGCAAGATATTAGGGCAATACCTCAATATAAGTAAAACCATAGAAGGAAAAAAATTTACAGATGGTCTGTCTTCTGTTATCCATGTCCTGTTCTTACTGAACTGAAAATACTGATAAATATTTAAATGATAGTGAGTATGCGCTTTACTATTGTGTTATTCTATATTTATCTACTGAATTGGATAGATACTGAATATCATCAATTGAGATGTAATGCATTTTCTTCTGTAATGACTACTTCTAGTTTGTTTGGTTGTCGTTTTTACTTTTTGCATGCAGCTTTAGGTATTGCTTTTAAATAGCATATGAATGGCAATTGGAAAAAGTTTTTAATCAAGTGAAATTACTAAACATGAGTTACATATAGACAAAAACATATATATTCATTTTTCATTCATATGCCATATAAAAGCATTACCTAAAGTTGCATGCAGTGTAAATAGGGACAACTAAAATGGACTCAAGACAGTATTTATTATCTACTCAAAGTTGACCTCTTAAGTCGAGCTTGGCAGGCCTTGAAACATTGTACATGATTCATTCTTTCACTTTTAAGTTTTTTGGCCAGCTTTCTAAGATTAGCATTCACTGATCTTTCCAAACAGGTGATCTTCCCAAGCTTTGGAGAGCGTTATCTTTCTTCTGTGCTGTTTGAATCCGTGAAGCGGGAAGCAGAGAACATGGTTTTTGAACCTTGAGGAGTACTGTGCGTATTGTTTTCTCAGTGCATGCTTTTGCTTCTTCTTTTGATTCCTAATAAACCCCGTCATATTGAAGCTTTACTGTTATATGTACGTTAAGGGAACACTCCCTGGCCTGCACTCTGGACATGGTATTAGAACTGATGTGATAATGAATAAAGTTGGGCATAGCCTGTTTGGGAAAGACATAAATTCTCTTTTATGTTTTTAACATCCATCTCATTGTTTGGCCAAAATAAATTCCATGGCTTTGAGGGTTTTTTTTTTTTGCGTGTGATAAAATCATATGTATTTAAGAGAAGCCTTCTTGCATGAACCTTAATCTTGTACTTTTCTTTATATTGTCTCTATGTGTCTCTAATTCATACTTTCTCACCTAATTTGTTTCTTTTTTTTTTTTCTTTTTCTTTTTTTTTTATTAAAATTTTGCAAGATGTTATCAACACAAAATTTCTCTATATGATTTATCTTTAGAATTCAAAAAGATTTTAAGGTAAAACATTGTCTATCATTTTCAAATTTTTACTTTAAATATTTATAATGTTATAACAATTCTCTAGTTTGTACTATTCAATTTAAAAATAGAAAAATATTATGGTTATGATTTTTGAGTTGTGAATAAATGTTACAAAATACAAAAAATAGTAAAATTTTAAAGATTGTATGGCTATAATCAAAATTGTCAATACTGTATCAACATGCGTATCGAGTTTGTTACTAAAATGGTACGTATTTGATGTTAAAATTTTTTGCGTACTGTTTTGGATTTATTACTATAAATATATATTTTTATAAATTAAATATCAAAATTTAAAATAATGATAAGATAAACTAATGTTAAAGATCATCATATTTTTATAAATTAAAAACAAGTTTAAAATGGTCAACTTTATAAAACATCTATAACTTTTTTTAATATTAAGATAATATTAGAAAACATAACAGTGTTATGAGTTTAATATTATACAATTTGCAATACAAAATACTTTTACAAGAGAAGAAATCATGTCTTCTAAGTATAACAAGAATGCAAAAGACAAACCAAAATATTATTGAGAAGAGAGAGCAGTAATCGATAAGTACTAAGAATTATAAGTCTAAATCTGAAATTGTCAAAAGAGATTAAAAATACATATTTTTAGTCCTTAACTTCAAATATATGCATATTTTTCATCCTTTCACTTTAAATTAAGGAACTCAAAATATTGGCATAGGAGCCGATACCAAAACATCAATTTTGGCGAGATTTAAAATTTCACTACGATGAATTCGATTGTCAGGTTCACCACTTAGGTTGGCAAGACTTAAGATGCAGAGATAAATTAAGAGAATTCACTTTCAAAAAACTCACTCAACAGGTAAATTTATAAACTGAAATTTTGGATTAAAACTTATCCATACAATGAAGGGAACATAGCTATTTATAGGCAAAATCTAACACAGGGCAATAAATGAAAAGTGAAAATGTAGTTGGGAGTTAGTCATCTTTGTGGAATTTAGTGGCCATTTTTGATAAAATTGCACCGACCTATTTGTAGTCTGCAAAGTGTAGTCTGAAATTTGCTGACTTGCAATCTTGGTGCACTTTCATGGTGCTTTCCCCTTGTGCAAATATGCATATTTAGATAAAGTCAATAGAATAACTAATAGAATGACCAAAAAAATACAATTTTTATAATTGGACTAAAAAAGTAGATAAAAAAGTTAAAGGATGAAAATTATGCAAAACATTAAAATTGAGGATTAAAAATGAAATTTACCCTTTTTAAATTTGAATTGATCTGTATCTGTCAATTTTCAATGTATCGGCAGGTATGCTAAAATACCGGCCAATACAATAAAATTTGATCAAAATGGACAAAATTTGAACAAAACAAAACTGAATCATGTACCGTTTCAATTTAATGAAAAAATTGGTACAATATTGGTCCATACCACCAGTACAATACTGGTCAATACCATTGGTACAATACGATATCAATAACATTGCCTACAATCATGCATTATCATAAACTTCTAACAAAAGAATTTTAAAATTCTTAATATTAAAAATACTAATATTAAAATTGACTCTTTTTATTTA